TTAAAAACATAATAGCATGGTATCTGATATAAACAAGTAATAGGTCTAATAAAAGACTGGAGTTAAATTCAAGATTTCACAGTCTTCAAAATAGTGGTGGTCATGCATGATCATGCAAAAACAAATTCACCTAGTGTAGAGGTAAAAAAAATAGATTGCAAGATTTTATTATAAACAAGCAGATAATTTTTTTGAGGCTGATACTTCTCAACTATGCATTAACATATTCAATATGTTCGAATAAGCAGGGTAGTATTAAAAGAACTGCAAAAACAGGGAGAATGTCTAGAGATTTGATTTATGTTGGGGAGACTTAAGGGACAGATCACAGCTTCAATTTTATATTGCAGTGACCATAGTTTGTCATATTTGTTCTTTGCTTACAGCATAATTGCAATTTCCAAACTTCTAATACATTTAGTAATTCATAATTAGTTAAGTCAATTGTTTTTTTATTTGTATCCAACTGTTTTTCCATTTCTTTTGTTCTTTATCTTTTCCTGTTTCTATATTTTCTCTAAAATGTTCTTAAAAAACAATTAAAAAATATCTTGCCACATGCGATTCTAGGCAGCTTGTGTGGCACTAAATCCCAAATGGTTAAGACAACGAGTCACAGATATTTCAAAGAATATTGAACAATATGTTGGGAAATATTACAATTATAGATGCTTGATTGGTTAAAGATGAAACAATATTTTGAAGTGACATCTGGCAGAAGCCAAAAGAGGTCTTATTTTCTTTTCTTCCTATTGCCTTACTAATAACCATTTATTCATTTTATTCATTATTGTTATTCATTATTCATTTTATTTATTATTGTTATTCATTATTCATTTTATTCACTATTCATTATTCATTCCATTTTTAGGACTCCTCATCTAAAACAATTTATTATATTGCTTTATTATTATAATGCTATTATAAATACCAATAAGACTTAGACTTATATACCAGTTCACAGTGCTTTATAGCCCTCTCTAAGCAGTTTACAGAGTCAGCATATTGCCCCCAACAATCTGGGTCGTCATTTTATCTACCTTGGAAGAATGGAAGGCTAAGTCAACTTTGAGCCTGGTGAGATTTGAACTGCCAAACTGCAGGCAGCCGGCAGTCAGCAGAAGTAGCCTGCAGTACTGCATTCTAACCACTGTACCACCACAGCTCTTTAAAACCATTATCATTAAATCCAATTACAAACATAATACAACAAATAAATATACACAGCAGTCCCAAAAATTATAATCCATATATGTTAATATAATCATGAAATGAGGCCCTTAACATACTCAGGATCCTAGGCCCTAGGCACAATATCAGGTCTTCATGATCTTCTGAAAGTCCTAATGTCCTAATTTTTTAATTTTACAGATTACTATGGCAGAAAAGGCACTCTTTCTAGTATCCAATAACTGACTTCCCTTGTGCTTTTTTATTTATTTGTGCTAATTTTATAGAAATTACTGGCTGAATACCCATGCTCTGCTACAAAACTATGTGATCAGGCTTGATAAATCGACACTTAGAGTTTGAAAATTAATGACTAGTTACGATCGGTCTCTCCTCTCCCCTTATCTTCCTCAGGCTTGCACCACAGAAGCCTCTCCTCTCTATCCCCTTCTCTCCCTGAGGCTTGCCCCATAGATCCTCTCCACTCCCCTTCTCTCCCTCAGGCTGGCCCCATAGATCCTCTCCACTCCCCTTCTCTCCCTCAGGCTGGCCCCATAGATCCTCTCCTATCCCCTGCTCTCCCTCAGCCTTGTCCCACAGAAACGTCTCCTATCCTATCCCCTTCTCTCCCCTGGGCTTTCTAGCCCCTTCTCTCCATGAGGCTTGCCCCACAGAAGCCAATCCTATGCTATCCCATTCTCTCCAGAGTTATTTTCAAATTGGGAGGGGGAATAGAACGTCTAACTAATTAGCATCAGAGCATGTTATAATAAAATAGAAAATACTAATGCTCTGAAGGTCATTTCGAAAAACCCTTTTTTAGTGAGCAAGAGGAAGATACATGGCCAATTTCAAGTTTATAGGCTTTATGGTTCTGGAGATTTCATGATTAACGCGTGAGTGGTTTTCGTTTTTATATATATAGATTTTTGCATTCTTAGGATTTAAAATTTTAGCTGTAAAACTTTTCGTTGTATTGATTTTTGATTGCAATTAGGGCTATTCAGATTGAAATTTAGTTTACTGTCCTATCTGTGGTATCTCTATCTATAGTATGCTCATAATCTGCTTCAACATGAAGGATGTGAACACTGTTTCTGAATTCTAGTGGCTCATGCTATCTTCTATGAGTCTTATTTCTGGTTGTTACTCTTGTCCACTGTGCCAGTTCTTCTGTCTGCCTTCCTTATAGAATGCTACTTTCACTGTTAGTTTATGTTATAGGGACTCCTGTTTTATGTGGCAACTAACTTCTTGGATCTTCTGATAATGCTATGTCTATATCTCTGATATGTTTGATACTGTTGTCTGCATGACACTAATGGTCAGAGGAGAATACAGAAGAAGAAAACAGGAAGAGAGGATATACAGAAATAGAATATAGAACAATATATATTTTGATTAATCTCTCTCTCTCTCTCCCCTCTTTCTCTCTCATTTGTGCCTGCTTGTGTATAAAATGTCCATTTACATCCTTTGTAATCAAGTGTTTCTTCAGCTTACTTTTTAATATATTCTTTTAGACAAAAGTTGTTTTCAAGAAGTGTTAGCCTAGAAGAAAAATCATTCTCATGTGTGCTTATCAGAAGAGACATGTAGATATTACTATCTTAATGAAGAAAGAAGATGACATGATGAAATCAGGATTCTGAAAAAAATGTCCTTAACAGAAGTTACCTAATTGCTTATTTTACCTAGAGGAAGAGCAATCTATTTCTATCTAACACCTAGTAATGAGAAATCATTATCCTGAAATCTTCTTTAATTAACATCAATCCTGATTAGTCAGAATAAATTAGGCCTTTGTCTGTTACTCCAGTAGTAGATCTTCCAATGAAATAGGCTTTTAATCACACATTACCATTTGCCCAGAACACATCTATGTAATTATTACTTTACCTTTTTTCATGGATAGTGTATGGTGTCACATTTGAATTATGAACTATTCTCATATCATTTCTCAGGACAAATCTGGACATGATGAGCTTTTGCATGTGAATTACAAAAAAATATGTTAAAATGTAGGGAACATCATTAGATCTAATTTAATTGGATACAAATCTACAAATCATCAAGTCTCTCTTTTTAGTAGCTGAAATATTTTATATGCAAAATAAGTTTGAAAACTTCACATTTCAAGTCAAAATAAAATGCATAATTTACTAGAATATGGAGTTAAACAGTGCTCAGAGATGAAGGAGGAGATTTTTTTAAAATAAGACATTGTTTACAAAATGTACCATTATCATATGATATACTGATTCTATATATAAGAGCAATACATTAATGGCGTGGCCATACAAATATAGTCAATTGACTGTTAGTTCCCATTTACTGTATTTTAGTATGACAGAGGCAGAAAAGTAGGGATGAAAATAAACAGACCTGAACAGCTCCTGTTAGTTGTACATAAACAACACAAGAAAAATACTGGAAAGAGCAAACCTCAACAATCAATTTAAATTGGTATTCTAAATGGAATATGGATCACCCAGAAATCCCTGGGAAGCTTACATACTATGGTATGAAAACAATTCTTCAAAACATTTCTTCCTTAGCATTATATCAACTCTGGATAAAGCATGATTCATTCTATGCATAGTCCTCAGATGGTGAAGAGTGAAACATTTCCGTTTTCTTATTCATTTTTTCTTACATTTTCATTTTTCTTACCTATGTGCATGGATTTACTTACTGTGGAATAAAAATATGAAGCCAGATAAAACAATATACAGAGAAAGGTTCCAGGCATTTTGAAGGAGATAGTTGTAGAATCCCATACCCTTATACAGTATATATACAAATTTAATATGACTTAATTTTGATTCATAAACTCACTTGTTATTCTACCCAAAAAAAAAAAAAAAGAGAAGCTTTTTTAGTCTTCACATTAATCTGAAGTTACTGGATAAGATTGTGTAGAATGTTAGAAAAACTGTTGGAAACAAATGTTTTGAGTTGCTCTTGAATTTAAAAAATGTCACTACTTCATTACTTTATTTTATATAAGCTCAGATTTTAACTTAAGTTTCAGATATTGGCAAACACACTTTGCAATTTGGATTAACCTATTTCTCTCTACTATAATTGCTAATTGCTTGAGACCGTGACTAGTGATTAATATTCACTACTGTTTCATAAAATTGTATATTGCTGCTGGTTGTTTTCTCCAGAGTTAAGTGAATACAAATAAGTCATACATTAATTTGGCAGAATAAATAGGTATCTTTTGCAAGATCACTCGTACTCAACAAAGCAGTGTGGTTGAGCTTGCACCTGAACTGCTTTGAATTATTTACTATTTTGAAACTAATGAGATTGGATCAAATTGGGTTTAAATTGGATTGGGTTTAAGGATAAAAAGATATAACTGAAATCACTATTAGATTTTCATCACTTCTGTCAGCTTCTTTTTCATCATTAAAAGATTTTTCTATAGTGTTACATAAATGTCCATAAAGTCTAACAGTAAGAAATCATAGAGCTTCTCAAGAACACCTCTCTATTCTTCTCTTTGAAAATACTTCAAAGTATTATATTGTCATTATGGGACAGTTACTTTAAAGAAACTGGAATAACCTGATAATCAGGTGATGAGTCAAACTGTAAGAATCTTCAGAGACTTAGAATACCATATGGAACAGGAAGAATAAGGAGAATAAAGGTCATTATGATATATTCTTCACAGAAAGAAAATATTGTTCTTGTTACTTATTTTTTAAAATCTAGCTCTTGCTAATATTTGATTTTATTATAGTCTGATTTTATCATGATGTACTTCTGTTTTTAATTTATTCTTTCTGAACATAATTTATTTTCTATTTATACAGCCATTTAAACCTGAATCTGGTAACTCATCTCAAGCCTCTACTGGGACGGAGGGAGGGAGCGAGCGAGTGAGGAAAGAAGGAAGGAAGGAAGAAAGAAAAAGAAAAGAAAAACTCCCCTTTGCCTGACCTAAACTGTGTACTTTTATTTCAAACAAAGTACAAAGACAATTTTGATTCTGGCTCAGAGATAGCTTCATCCTCACAGACCTGATGTAGTAAACTTGTCTATCAGCGAACCTCAAATGATACTCTCCATCCTGGATTATGTATCTTTATTTCATATTGAACTCATACTTACTTATTTCAGTAAAGCCCCCCAATGTAGACAATTCTGTGCCATGATAGCCAGTGAATTAGTGGCTTGGAAGCACTCACAGCCTCGTAGATAATAGCTAAGCAATGTTTATTTCTGATTTTGTCATTTTGAGGACCAAATTGGCATAGCTACTATTTTTCATATTCAGAGTATTTGACACCTCATTCATATTTCTGTGATGATGGAAAATGTCCAGAAATGACATCTAAAACTAGAACAGGATGCATCTGTCAAATATCCAAACTCTTTTCATACTCTGAAAATGTCATGATAATTAAGATAGCATTTTAGACTACATCTGAAATCTCCCAACTCTCCTTGCTAAACAGGAGTTCATTTTCTTCTGTGCCAAGGTTCTAAATGCATCTTTTTCCTTATTCAATGTATTATAAACAGATATAACTTCCATTAGCTTATACATCATGGGCTTACAAAGTTTAATTTTATCAAACCATTATATAAATACCACTAAAAATCACATGGTATGATCTATAGAAGGAGCTGATATACTTTGAGCTGTTAACCTGTAATAAGAAGAATATCTTATATAAAAATATATATTCCAGGATCAAACATTAGAGGACAAACAATTCTTTTGTCACTGACACAATATTTTCTAGAATTATCATTGCAATTATATAACAACAGTGTGTGTGTGGGATCACTCAGAGTCCAAGTACAATTTAGCATACTTTAAACTTTTTCTTCTAACTTATTGCCCACACATCTGAAAAAAAATAAAAGAATTATATATTGTGTCTTTCATGTGAAATGGATTCTTACAACTTTCAGAAACCTACTTTAAATATGGATTCTTTAATGAGATGCTTCAATATTGCTGTCAACATTATAATTGTGGAGGTTTTCTAATAGACAGTACAGTTTAGGTAGTTAACAGCCCTTCGAATTCAGTAATATTCCCAAATTGTTTAGTCAATAATACAACTGTTATTTTAGTTATACTGTAGTAATTTTGTTCTTTGACAATGTTCTCATTTAGAAAATATATCAGGGAAAAATCAGATACAAACAAAATACTATTGTTTCTCTATTGTTTGCATATATAATAGGATTTGATATTGCAATCTCTCCAAAGCACATCACAGTTTGCTTTATGTATTGTTGTAGCCATCATGCTGTTCTCTTATTCAAAACTTTCAAATTTTAAGCACAGTGTACGTAACACTCCAAGACTGTGCAACATGCTGAATGGAGTTAGCCATGCATGAAATTTAGAAAGCAGATAATATCCTGCTGAACTTCCATGAATTGGTCATGTAGATATGTTTTAATCTTTTAAATATGAATTTACTCTCAAACTGAACTTGATTTCCAGTGACAACACTGACATATCCATTTGATTTTCTTAACCCCAAGAAGTAGTTCCCATTGTCTATTTTCTTTCTTATACTTGAATGTAAACACTCACTACTGGATATTATTGCATATCTTCATGCTAAAAATAGCAAAAACGCTATGGGTTATGCATTCACCCCCCCCCAATCCTGCAACTATTAAATTTAGAATGGGTTCTATGAAGATTTACTTGATTTGTAAATGTTTGCTCGTAGTGGGATCTATAATTCCTACTTGCAATATAAAATAACTGATATAAACAAAAGAATCAGAATACATTACAAAGGTTAATCAGAGCCAGGAACTATTTACTATAACATCCCTGTTCAGTTCATGTTAGATTCCTTTGATCAGGGCTGGGCAGTCACACTTCTCCTGACACTTGATGGCTAGCTCAATTCCTTGGCTAGATTTGAAATACTAATTTGGTTCAATTAGATTAGAATTTTTACTGTATACAGTAATGGAACCATAAAAAGTATTTGAGTTGTTGCAATATTTTCAGGATCAGACTCAATAAAGATAATAGGAGTTAGAGCTTTAAATATATTTCTTTTTAATTATGATAGGCATTCTATATTCACTGAATATTCAAGGTAGAAGCGACGAGAATGGTGAGGGTGGCTCCTTATATATACAAGGGGTGGAGCTAGGAATGGGAGTGGTAAGTTATGAATACATTAAAGTCCAAAGAATAAGTTAACCTCTGATGTTCCATATATACATTATTTACACATTGGAGAATAAGGCATTTACATCTGACAAATCCCCCTCTAAATGCCGGTTCGTTATACAACATCAATTACATTCTGATTCAGGACAATATAATACATATAATTTAGAAGTTAAATATTTGTGTTGTTTAGAAGGTAAGGGTTTTGTTAATATGTCAGCTAATTGTTCAGAAGTATCGCAATGTATTGCTTTAATGAATCCGTCTTGAGACAGTTGTCTCACGTGCTTAAACTTTATATCAATATGCCTGGACCTTTGTCCAATTGCATCGGATCTGGATATTTCAATGGCCGCTTTATTGTCTTCATGCATAATAAATGGTAAAGTGGGTTTCTTCCAAACATCAGTGATCAGATCATTGAACCATACAAGGTTATTTGCAGCCTTGGACAAACAAACATATTCCGCTTCTGTAGTAGAAGTGGCTACTAGTTCTTGTTTACCAGTATACCAGTAAACTGGACAATCATTCAATAGAAAAACATAACCAGAAGTACTCTTTCTGCATGATGTATCACCAGCCCAATCTGCATCAGCATAACAAGTAATTTTTGGTTCTCTGTCATTATTGGGTTCCAACATTAAACAAAAATCTAATGTACCCTTCAGATATCTTAGAATTCTTTTGACAGCTTCCCAATGATACAAGGTTGGTTTACTAACATATCTTGACAATAGATTGAGAGGTAATGCAATATCTGGCCTAGTCCAATTAGATATATAAAGGAGTGAACCTATAACTGATCTGTAAAATGTGTTGTCTTTAAACTCAGGGGAAGATTCATCAGTGTTTCTAAGAAAATCAGTTTGCATAGGAGTGTCACAGGTTTTGGCATTATTTAAGTTACATTTGTTTAGGAGTTCGATGATTTTATCTTTCTGTGTAAGTTTGAATCCCCTTTTAGTTTTGTTAATTTGCACACCAAGGTATTTATTCACTTTACCCAGAGATTTCAGTGAGAAGTGTTCATTTAACTTATTTACAAAGATTTCCCTGCTCTCTTTATGCTTTCCAATGTATAAAATATCGTCCACGTAAATTAATACAAATTCAATATGATCATTACTCTTTTTTACAAAGAAACAGTTATCAGCAGTGGTGGCGTTGAAATCCATGGTCTTAAGTACTTTTACCAAGCAATCGTACCATCTTTTGCCGGATTGCTTTAATCCGTACAGACTCTTATTTAATAACCAAATTTCGTTCTTATTAGTGTATTGACTGTGTGGTGCTCTTACATATATTTCCTTATCTAATTTTGCATGTAAGTATGCGGTCTGTATGTCATATTGGAATACGTCCAGATTGAGTGCAGATGCTACTACAAGGGCTGTTTTGACACTCTCTGTTCTCACTGTGGGTGAATATGTATCAGTATAGTCTTCTGGATATTTTTGTGCATAGCCTTGTGCAACTAGTCTAGCCTTGTATAAGGTATTGCCTCCTTCTAAGTTCTTAATTTTATAAATCCACCTGGTACCTATAATTGTTTTATCCTTAGGTGCGATCGCAGGTGTGAATACATTTAATCCTTGTAAACTTTCCATCTCTTTTTCCATAGCTAGTTCCCATTTTTCTCTTTCTTCATGTGGAAGTTTCAATACTTCTTCATATGTATTAGGTGTTATTTGTTCTCCATTCATATGCATTATGTAATCTTTGTATTTATTTGGTATTTGGTTTCTATTGTTTCTAATAGTTCTTTCAGGCTTGCTATGGTTATCATGCAAATATCTAGCTTCCTTTTTTGTTAATGTGTCTGTCTTTATTTTATGCTGACTATTAGTCCAAGTTTTGGTTTTGTTCTTACTTTTGTTAATATTTTGATTTTCTGTTGTTCCTTCCTCGCAAGATATCGTATCTTTACATTTATTAGGAAATATTTCATTAAGGTGCAATTTTGACCAATTGGCCTGTTCATGGAACACAGCTGTTCTGGATACTATAAATTTGTTATTACTATCAATAAATCTGTACCCTTTGGTTCCAGTTTCGTATCCCATGAATCTTAATCTCCTGGATACGTTTTCTCCCTTTCTCCTCAATTGTTTAGGTATGTGTACGTCTGCAGTGACTCCAAATATGTGCATGTGTGATAATTTGGGTTTTCTATTGTACATCACCTCATATGGTGTCTTATTCACAATACTGGACCAGGTTCTATTTTGAGTGTAATTCGAATAATGTAATGCCTCTGACCAAAATTGTTTGCCTAAACCAGCATCCTCTAATGTGCACCTAATCATGGTTTGTAGTGTGGAATTTTTCCTCTCTGCAACTCCATTTTGAAATGCAGAAAAAGGATTGGACGTGAAATGTAACATTCCTCTATCCTTTAACCATTGGGAGAATTCTTTAGACATGAATTCACATCCCCTATCTGTCATAATTTGCTTTATTCTGATATTATGTTGTGTTTCTATACGTTTGTAGAATTCCTTAAATTTCTGAAATGTTTCATCCTTGTGCTTTAATGTGTAAACAAAACCATATCGGCTGTAGTCATCCACTATTGTTAGGAAGTAACGTTTTCTATAGGTAATTGAGGGACTTAATGGACCAACTAAGTCCATATGTACCAAATCAAAAATATTGTTAGTTGATCTGTTAGATTTTTTTGG